GTTATCCCGGATGTCTCGGGGAGTGTCCCTGGCGTCTCGTCTCCGCTTGAGATCGGGCGACCGGTCACCACCTCCGTTGGTGCTACCGAGGGGTGTGCCATTACCGGCTCCGATTCGCTTGTCGTCGATTCCGGGGATGGGCATGCCCTTCGCGCGGGCTTGCTTCTGTGCTGCTAGGTAGGCTTTTGCCTCCTGTTCGCGCTTCTTCACTTCTGCTTGTTTCCAAGCTTCCTTTTCATCGCGGTCGAGGTGGGAAGGAGGGCGAGGTGCGGTTGAGGCTATGGAGAGTGGGGTTGTGATCATGGGCACGGTGATTGTTGACGTGCCGGTGGTGGTAGGGCCGCCTGGGGTGGGTGGTGCTACTCGTGCGCTAGGAGTAGGAGCAATGGCCGTCTCTTTGGTGATGGTAATACTAGGGCTCTTGGGAATTTGTGTGGCTGCAGGAGCAGTGGTATCCTTTTCAGCTTCTCGTCGCTCACGCGAACGGGAGCGACTTCTTGCTCGCCTGTCCCGATCCGCTGTCCTTAAGCGAGACCGCGAACGATCCCGGCGATCGACTCTAGGTCGTGGAGAGCGACTCCTCTCACGACCATCTCGTGTAGTGCGTGAACGGCTTCTGGCCCGCCTGGTGTCGTCTCTCCTGTCGGTGATCCTCGCTCGTGAGCGGCTTCTGTCACGACGGTCTGCCGCCCTCCGTCGAGAGCGGCTCCGATCTCTGGCATGCTCATCTCGTCGATCGTCTCGGCGATCCAGTCTGGGACGCGAACGGCTACGCTCTCTCCGATCACGAAGACGGGAGCGACTATGTTCTCGCTTGTGTGAACGGCTTCGCTCGGTACGCCGCGAGGGCGGGGAGGCTGACCTGTCGTCTTTCCGCTTCCGGTCGTCGTCACGATCTCTGTCTTTCTCGACTTCCCTGTCCTTCTCCTTCTCCTTCTCTTTGCCACGATGTCCGCGAGCCCCTAGAGAAGGGCTCTTGCTTCTTCGCGAATCGACCCGAGTGGCGGCTTCCTTGGGTTCCTTGACATCCTTGATGTCAACTGTCTCCTTAGGTTCAATGACCTCCTTTGTCTCCTCAGTGACTCCTGGTTTGCTCGCAACATCTGCTGTCTTCCTGACCTCAGATACCTTTGGTGATGCTCGGCGGATTGGATCGATTGCAGATGCTGGCTTCGTTCGTCTAGGTGGCGGTGCGAGAGTGGTGTCAACCTCCAGCTCAGGTTGTTTCGCAGCTACACGCTTGCTCTCGCGCAAAAGATCGGCCAACGCCTCTTGTTCCAGGCGTTCATTATCCTCCTTGGAGAGTTGCGTCTTCACATCCTCGGGGCGGCCATGGTCATTCCTGCCCTTGGCGTCCCTACTAGGGCGCCTGTCCCGGCCTCTTGACCTATCCCTAGACCTTACCCGACCTCTGTCTCTGTCGCGATCACGATCACGGTCTCTGTGACGATCACGATCCCTGCTGCGATTTCGATCCCTCTCCCTGTGGCGGCGCTCACGGCTGAGCTCCCTTTCCCGTTCACGTTGTTCTCGTCGTGCGCGCCGCTCTTCACGCTCCTTTTCCCTGATGGCGTCTTCCTCGAGCTGCTTCTTCCTCCGTTCTTCCCGCCGTTTCTGCTCTTCTTTTTCCTTGATCTCACGCTCGAGTCTGCGCTTTTTCTCCTCCACCAGTCGGAGTTCTTCACGCACACGTTCCCTCTCTGCACGGCGCGTGGCAGTCTCAGCAGCATATTCTTCGTCCGTCTTGGAGCCGCGGATACGCTCTTCTTCGGCCGCCTCGTCGCCTATCTCTGCACGTCGGAGCTCACGAAGATGTGCCTCTAGTGCGTCGGTATCGATCAGACTCTCGATTACAGCCTGTGCCTTCTGGTAGACTTCGTTCCGGTCGAGGGCGCCGTCGATGAGGGCCGCTGCTTTGCCGCGGTCGAGTGTAAGCAGTTGTAGGGGGTTCCGCTCGACTTCTTGCTCGGCTACTTGGAGTATTTGTTTGACGATCTCGGATTCGTGGTCCTACAGAGCGATTGTGTCAGATATTATGGGGCCATGAGCTGAACACGCTGTGGGAAGACCTACACTAGCGAACTTCTCCCAGACCTGTTTTCGAATAGCATCATATCCGCCCTTTTTCTTGAAGCTGTGAGCTAACCCTTCAATTGCAGATCGTGTGGCCGAAGTGAGCGGTAGGTCAGACGCCTTGAAATTCCTGACGACGATTGGGACACTGATCGGGTTCGGCGTAGCCTCCTGAGTCTCCGCGCCCGAGGCAGCAGGAGCCGACGGCGAGGGATGGATGGCGGTCGACATGGTCAGGCCAGCGGCGGTACCACTTGAGGTTGGAAGAAGTGTGCGCAACAGATCCCTCAGCCAGTAGTGAGGTTATATATAAAGGCCACGGGTACGCAGAATGGTTGCGCAAGTGAAGAGTGTGACCGAACCTTAACACCTCATTGCTGTAAACCTGAGTCGGCGGGGTGCCGGGGCAGTTGACGGTAGCGCAGGTCAGGCAGCGTAATCGGCGGATGAAGGCAGGAGAAGGTTCAGTTCATTTCGTGCCGGCTTGCTAAATGATGGATAACTCCTAGTCGAATATTGTCGGTTTGAAGGATTGGACCTCAAATTCGGGGGAATTGTCGGCTTGTTCGTCTCTAGATTTGGCGGTAGAGTCCTCGGTGAGGTGTAGAGGTATGAAATGATAGTGTAAAGGAAACGCGATGGTGCAGGCAGGGGATTGAGGCGCGTTGCGGTAAAGTTGCTGGACCAGAAAGTTTCAGTGGGGGTCCTGCTACCGGCGATCAGGGAGCCACGGGGCCAAGCCTGGGGCCGGCAGGTGCAGTGAACAGGGGGTGTCGTGCCTGGACTCGGGCAACCCTTTCCCTGGACCGCTGCGGCGCTGCCGTCCTCGATTGAGTCAAATCGATTCAAGGTTGCGGCACGAGCCAGCGGGCGGAAATTTATCTAATACTCTATCTAGGGTTAGGGTCGAAGCTTCAATATCCTTGGATGGAGCAGTCCGACCTTCAGACGAGCTCGCGGGGCGCACGAGCCTCAGACACAGCACTGTACGTCGTCCAAGATACGAACCACCATCGCGAACATCGTCACCTTGCGCCTTCAACCCACGTCGTCGTCAATCTTGCCCATACAAAAGTCGCTGCTCGAGGGGCACATTATACCGCTGAGGTCGCGGTTTCAAAAGCACAAAATGGTTCACAGAATGGTCTTTTGGGCCGGCTTCGGTACGTTGCTCCGCTCTCTGCTCTCTCCATCGCATGGGAAATGGAGGACATGATTCATGAACCACCACCCACCCGCACCAATCCACCATCAATTGTGTACTCCACATGCTGTTTGTCAACAAACACCCATAATCCCAGTCTCTCTCCCTCCCTGCCTCCCTCTCCCATACCTTCATATACTGTAGAGATGTCCATCATAGCTAACCGTCGCCCTCCTTCTTCCTCCCCATCTACAGGCTTGGCCACCCGCGCCTGGCAACTGGGCATCGAGCGACGACCCATCCTCGGCAAGCAAACCCTCTGGGGCTACCCCGTCTTCGCAGCCATCGGCGCCAGCTTCGGCTACTGGGTTCAGGGCGTGGACGAGCGACAGCAGGCCATGCTCCAGGAGCGCAAGCAGGCCATTCTCGACAAGAGGGCGCGGAGGGCGGCGAGGCAACAGGAGGCTGGCCAGGGTGAACCCAAGGCGGCGGCGCATTAAGGAAACGGTTGACTGTTACGGACATCTTCACAAGTTCCCGGTAAAACGGCACGGGAGCGAACCGGGGGGGGGGGGAGACAACCGACTGACTTCCATGGACGCTTTGCTGGTATGGGAAGGGGAAAGTCTGAGAAACGGACCTTATGGAAACAACAGTACATACACATGGGGGATGGAAAGGGAACCCACAGAACCTACCTACACAGCACGTCTATCATCGAAGATAGTGAGAACATATAAACATCAATGCTACAGGCAGACACAGCAAGCCGAGTTCGATGTTGGGAGAGAGGAAGACATTGTTTGGCAATGGAGTCCATTTGAATTAAATGCTCTCTCTGATTTCCCTTCCCGTTTTGGCCTTTCCCTTTCCCTCAAATTTTCTCTCCCTCCGCATTTCTTACCGCTTCAGATGATCTTCTTCGCCGCATACTATGCGGTCTTGGTGAAGCCTCTTTAAGATCCAGGTATCTCTCTCTGTCTACCTACTCTAGCTTTCTGTCTAGCTGGCGCGCCACCACCAGCATATATGAACCCATGTATCTTTCTACATGCTTTCCTTCATCTCGCCGTCCACTCTCACATATACTTTTTGCCGTTTAAGCAATAGTAGGGTCCTCCCGCTTTCTCAACAGTGTCAAGATAGCCTGCGCCGGGGCAAAATCCGTACCGCTCTCGAACTCGGTAATGACACCGGTAATGTACTTGCTGTGCGTGGTATCAAACATCAGCCGGAACGACTCAGCCGAGCATCGCTCGGGGTCAATCTCGTTGTAGGTGAGCGAGTCCACCGAGACACGCTCGCGGTCAAAGTTGATAGTCTCGCAGAGGGCCACCACCTTGACGTTAGCGGCCGAAGCGGCCATGGCAACATCAGCAGTACCCGCGGGAGCGAGCAAAGATCCGTTGGCGAAGATGGCCTCGGTGCCGAGCAGCACGTTGCTCGCCCGCTCGAGGTGCACCCGCAGGCCGCCGAGGTTGGGCGAGTAGAAGACGGGGATGCCGGCCTGCTGTAGCGTCTTGGCGAGCTCCTTGCCGCCCTGGTCGTACGGGTCGTCGATGATGGAGACGGCGAAGTTTTTCCCGTTAGACTTGGCCCGCAAGATGGTCTTCTCTACCAGCCGGTGGCGGCCGTACGTGAGAACAACGCCATCCTCGTCGATCAGCTCAGCGGCGTTTTTGGAAATGACCACCTCGGCCAGGGTGATGCGCTCGTTGATGAAGATGTCGATAAACTCGAGAAGAGACTCCTTCGCCTCGTCCTCGGGCGTGTCGATGTCGAACTTGTTAACCTGGGACTTGAGGAAGCGGATGGCGTTACCCATGGAAAAGGACATGGGACGGCACTCGGTCAAGTACTCGATCTGGGGGTTCAGCACATGGGGGACAAAGTGACGAGAAAGTGAGTTGCCCTTCGGTGTTTCGTAAGACTCAATAACCTATCGTATGTCTTGTCAGTGTCCTGTCCACAGAGTCTGAGAATGAGGTTGCCAACCTTCTTGAACGCCAACAGGGTTGCCTCCAGCCTGGCAATGCTGTCCTTAAGAGCAAAAGTAGCCATCTGCTGGCCGACCGCCAATACGGCAGGGTGCACGTCCTTGTGCGCCTGCGAAGTCTGTATCCGCTTGGCCATGGGCACATGGCTAAAGCACTCGGGAATGCTACTCCTCGGATCCTCCTTGATGACGGCAGCCATCGAAGGCCGCCTTCCACCCACGGACGGCCTGCGGCCGGGAACAAGACGTTGCCCTCTGCTGAGAGCCCGATTGGCCGCCCTCCTGCTTTCCACCCTTGCTGCCCTTGCCTCCCTTCGCATCTGCTGCCGCGGCCGCTGGTGGGGCTTCCTTCACCTCCTTCGCCTTTGCCCGTCGTGCTGCCTTCTCGGCCTTGGCCCTGGCTTTTAGCTGAGCGGGAGTGAGCTTCTGTTCGCCGGCGGCGTCTCCTCCGGTAGTGGGTGTGTCTTTGGCGGCAGCGGGCTTAGCCTGTTGCTTCCCCTTCTCCTGTGGTGCGGGAGCCTCAGCGGGAGCCCCAGTCGCTTCGGTAGCCATTTGTTGTATGAGATGCGATGTGCTTGGCGAAGTTGTCGCAAATGTTGTTTAAGACCAATGGGATCCGATTGGGTGAAGGTGAGGTGCGTCCCAAAATTTGCGTCGCGTTTCGACGAGTTAGGTGAGGACTCGAGTGACTGAAAATGAACAGCCGAGTTATCGCTTTGAGATGCAAAAACGGTATTGATGAGCAGGGAGAGGCTAATGGTAGTCTCCCTTTTCACTTTTTTGTTGTGTTGGCACAATGCTAATTCTCAAAGTGCTCAGTGCAGGATCATCAGCCAGATTCTGAACTGAGTCACGGATGCGATCAAGAGGTCGTACCACCAAAAACAACACCCCGCGCCCCGCTTTTCGTACACTGTCAGCCAACCAGGAGTTACAGATTCCGTCCAAGGTTGCCCAACGTCACTCAAAGATTCGGCCAGGACTTAAACTTCCATGGTTACAGTTTACTATGTGAAACTTCTAAATCTCTTCGATGTGGTTACAATCCCATTGTGTCCATGGCAAACCGTAAACATACAAGCTATAGGTAGGATGTTCCATTGCTCGAGGACCACTCACGTCCATCGAATTGACCGGCAAGGAGTGTTTTTATGCGAGGCGTCGGACCTCATTCCCGCCCTGCATCTATAACTATTAGGTACACATATGGTACAAGCATACATATCTACATATTGTCGAGAAAGCCGCGCTTTGAAAGCGACATGCTCCCCCCACTCGCACAACTTCTAAACAACTTGAACCAACGACCGCCTGAAATGGCGCTTATTCATCCTCCTTCTCCTCCTTTTCCTCATTCTGCTCCTCCTCAGCCGCCGCATTCTCCTTCTCCTTCTTGGGTGTAGGGCCCTGGAAGACCATCCGCACCACCTTTCCAAGCTCACCTTCCATGGCCTTCACCTCCTGAACCTTTGGCACCTCGGCAACCGCCTCCCTGATCAAGCGCACAACTTCCTTGCACTCCTCGCCCGTCGCCTGCTTAGTTTTCTGTCCCTTGGCCTTCTTCTGCAGCAGCATGACCTCCACCCTGTGTCCCTTCTGCAGGAACTTCTGGAGCTGTCGCGTGCGGAATCCCAAATCGTGCGCCGCAATCGCCCAGTTGATCTCCAGCTCCTTCTTGGTCACTTGCTTTTTGCGCTCCTCCTTAGCCTTGGCCTTCTGGGCCTCTGCCTCGGCGCGGCGGTCGATGATGACGCACACGGGCCACTCGGGCAGGTCGGGGTTTTTGGGGACCTCCGGGTCGCCGGGCTTGGGCCTGGGCGGCTGCCACACCATCGCCAAGCTGTAACGTTCGCGGTCCAGCCGGCTGATGATGTCCGCTGGCCGTTGCTTTCCTGAGAGATTGCCGTCCAGGCCACGCAGGTGTACAAAGGGTACTTTAATCGCGAGATCGCGCGGTAGGTTCTCCTGCTGTGCGTTCGACTTTGCCTTGCGCATTCCAAAGAATTTCGCTTTCGCCTGGAGAGAGCTTTGGGTCGAGAACGCGCATCGTGTCTGGTTGTTGAGGACGGCAGCAGTCGCGGCGGCAACTGAGAGGCGAGGGAGTAGGACTGTCTGGAGCAGCAGGGGTGCTGGAGCGGACGCGCTGTCGAGGAACACCCTCCGGAGGGCAGCTGCGGAATTGTAAAGGCACGGGGAGGCTCTCATGATCGGATCCGGTTGTTGGGCTTGTCGGGTGGGAATTTGCACCGAGGTTGAGGAACTCGAGGAAGGGCTAAGACGGTGGAAGAAAGGTGAAAGATGTCGTCGCGGGGAAAGAAGAAGAGGCTCTGTGGCAGTTGACGAGTCTAAACCAGAAACACTCTGGGCCGCGGAGCTGATGATGCAGATCCGGAGCCTTTGGGCCAACCACAAAGCTCCAATTCAAAGCTCCCCTGTAAGGTGCACGGGCACCCGATGAAGCCCCACATTTCCGCAAGCTTCCTCCACACCACGAACCGTCTTCGGCCCCACGATCCGGTCGGCCGCCAGCGCTTTGCATATCGCATTCATGATTCCGGGGGATTGAGAGTCTCAACATCCGCGTCGACATTCTCATCGGAAGGCCAAGATCATGAGCTATAGTTGTAACTCTGCATACTGGACAGCTCTTACCTCTAAGCTCACTCACGACTCATCCGATTCACCTCGAATCCCGTGAAACCTCTCAGAGCCATACACGGCTCCAAGTCGTCATCAATCTTCACATCCCGTCTCGTTCATCGGCCCAGGTCACATCCATACACCTAAACACCGATGCCGCCCTCAATACGACCGCCCACCCGGGCTTCCTCCTCACTCCTCTCCCTCCTCGCCGGTCCAACATTACGCACCTCAACCTCCTCACAAGCCACATGCCGACTCACCTTCCAACGACGGACAATTTCCCAAACATTATCCAGGAGACACGATGTCGTCGTCGACACAGCAAGAACGCCACCTCCCAATCACGGCCCAACAGTCGCCGGGTCCGGGATAGACTATAATTCACCTCCATTATCTTCATCCTCCTCCCAGCAACAACAACAACAACAACAACAACAACAACAACAACACCATCAACATTCCATACCACCACCACCACCACCACCCCCTCCCGCCGCAGGGGGGCTCTTCTCCAAAATCCTCCACTTCCTCCGCACCCACCCCCTAACCCTCTCCATCTCCCGCCTCCTCACTCACCTCGACAACCTCCTAGGCCGCCCCTCTTCCCGCCTCCTCTCGCACCCCTTCCACGTGCTCTTCTCCACCTTGAAGCTCCTCGCCTTCACCCATTTATTTCTCGAGCACGTGCTATCCATGGCTCCGGCCTCCGGGCCGTCCATGCTACCCACCTTCGAGGTAGTCGGGGAATGGCTTGTAGTTTCGCGGTTCCATAAATATGGAAATTCGGTGAAAGTGGGCGACTTGGTGGTTTACCAGATCCCTATCAGTACGAGTGGGGAGTTGGGGGTGAAGAGGATCATGGGGATGCCTGGGGATTATGTGCTTGTTGACACGCCTGTGCCGGGGGGAGGGACGGTGGAGGGGGAGGTCTTGGGGGAGAGGCGGGGGGGTGATGGGGATGATATCATGATTCAGGTACGTTTGATTGGTTGTTTGGTTGATGATGGTGATGGTGATCCCGGGTGCAGCGGGGAAGGAGCATAATGTGCAAGTGATCCATCGCTAACAAATTTTGGGGAATGATTTAGGTACCCGAAGGTCACTGTTGGTTGGTTGGAGATAACTTGACGGCCTCGCGAGATTCGAGGACGTTTGGGCCTGTGCCGCTGGCTCTGATCAGGGGCAAAGTGTTTGCCAAGACTCAGTCGAATTGGCTCCCCAAGTTGATAAGAAACCCTTTGGAAAGGGTAGAGCTTGAGGATGTGATGGCTTGACGAGATACCCATACGCAAAGGAGAATAGAAGCAAGCCTGAAGCAGCCCACTGAGGTCAAACCCTTCACCCTGTCAGTTCTGGTTCCTTCTTATGGTCACTCATGTTGGCTTGTGTCAACAAAAACCTGTCTATTTAAGCCGAGGACTAAAAGAAACTAATATCCTATAGCAGTTGCAAAGGTGTGCCCAACTACTATATCTTCACACTTGGACCGAGACCGGTGCCAGATGCGCCTTCGTCAACGCTGTCTCATTTCCATTAAACAATACGGAAAGAAACAAAGCGAACCGAAAAACAAAAAGGGGGGATGGTGTTCGGCGAACAATATAAATTAGGTCTGCGGGCTGATCATGAAACAACAAGCAGCTGGGACCCTGACATGATTTTCGTTATGGTTACAAAAGAAAATAACCCGGATCGGAATACGCACACGAAACGCGCGCCACCCATCATATCCATCAGCCTCTCCGATTTGCCCATAACTGTCGCCTCTTCCAATGGTCGCTTCCTGCCAATACAAAATCCCATGACTTCCCTCCCGTGTATAATCAATCCATTACTAAACAATGCTGCGCCGCAAACTCCACGCCAATCCTATGCGAAATACCTCAAGCCAGTCGAAACCAAGATCGGAAAATGCCAACAAAGCAAAGAGGGTTGAAAAGAATAAAACCATCAACCTCTCTCTTTTAGCCCTCGATGTGGGCCTTGGCATTTCCCTGGCCGAGGAGCTCCAAGCACCGCTGTGCAAGGCTGACCACTTCACCCTCGTCATCGTCCTCCAATTCGTTATCCGACTCAATCTGGCGGTTCGCAATCTGCCTGATCATATCCACAATGTCGTTCGATTTTCCAATCAGCCCAATAAGCTTCTTGTCTTCGGATTCGAGGAGCTGTAGCAGGGTCCAAATCGCAATGTGTTGGAAAGTGGCGTCGCCGCTAGCGAGGAATCTGCTCAAGTAGCCATGGATGCCATCGCTTGGTTCGTTCCAGTTATGGATGAAGATGCTGTAATCGCCCACTGTTTGTTTGTCAGTATGTCGGACCCGGAAACGGTTCAACAAGGAATCGACTAACCTTTAGATGAGAGGTTACCCAAAGCCGCAGCACTGTTTCCTTGAACCTCGATGCTAGGTGACTTGGTAAGAGGAATCAAAACCTCAAACACACCGAGCTCCAAAAGATTTGTTTTGAGTTCATCACTCAACGCCAAAACGGCAATGGCTGCGGTCATCTCTGACTGTACGGTCACCGGAACCTCCAACACCAACTGCTTGCATTTCTGTACAGCACCAGCCTCGAGCACCAACGCCTTGTTCCGGTCCGAGCTCGCCGCGAGATTCCTGAGGGTAGAGATGGCATGGCACTGGATCTCCTCATTGTCGGTCGACCCTAGGAGGTCGACCAATGGTTTCAAGAATCCGGCCTCGATAATGGGGGACTCGTTCATTGGATGGATAGAGATATTTCGAATGCAGGCAACAGCCGACAGGATGAGCGGTAGGTACGACGACTGAAGAAGACGGAGAAGGGGGCCGAGGCCGCTGGCGCGAACAATTTCCAACTGGTACTTTTCGTCCGAGGCGAGATTTCGAAGGGCCAAGGCGGCCTGGCACTGAACCTTGGGTGAAGAGGAGTCCATCAAGTTGACAAGAGACTGAACAAGCCGAGGTTCGGTTTGCGCAAGCTTCCGCCTGTTGTTGGCATCGACGGCAATGTTGCTGAGGGCGGTGGTGCAGTAATACTGGACGTCGACATCGGTGGAAGACAATAGCTGAACCAATACAGGGATAGCGCCGGCATTTACCAGTTGTTGGCGGTTTTCATCTGTCAAGTGTTAGCGGTGTGTAAATGATGTCCGTCACGGTACAAGCCTACCGGAGTGTGTCATGTTCAGAAGAGCGCCAGTAGCATTGCGTTGAACTCTCATGTCCCTAGATTTGGCGAGTCGTGTCAATGGTCCCAGAGCCCCGGAGCGTGCGATCTTGGCCTTGTTGTCTTCGTGTGTGGCCAAGTTAGTGATACAGCCAACGGCGTTACACTGAACCTCGACGTTGGGCGACATCATTTGGCGGATAAGGGGGGCCAAACCACCAAGCTGGACAATCAAGACCTTGTTCTCAGCTGTTTGCTTGTTAGCCATCGCTGCCACACTAATACGCCTCCAAGAAGAGTACATACTGTTTACCGCGAGGTTGCCCAGCGCCGCACTGGCTGCCCTTTGAACTTCGATGTCGGAATTTTGGAGAAGGAAGAGGATGGGTTCGAGAGTGTCCCTATCAACAGCTCGAACATCTGGTATAAGCGAACACAAAGTCAGCGACGTGATGGCCGAAACAAAGGGTATTGGTGCCGTGTTTTTCCAACAATACGTACCTCGCTCGGTGATTTCAGCAAACGTCAGACTTGCACTCCGTTGAAGATCGATATTCTCCGAGTAGACGAGAGTGCTCAGGGCGCGTAGGGGCTCTCCGGAGAAGAAGTCGGTCTCTCCACGCTACACATGTGTTAGCGCTTCCGTCATGACGTGGGCAGATATCGGTATGCATACGTTTTCGAGGTACTGGAGGAGGTCGGCAACGGCTTCCCGCTCACTATCGGCGAGGACATTATCATACAAGCCGTCGCGGGATTTGCCTGCCGGGTCCCGTTAGCTTTACTCCACGCATGCCATATGTATAAACGGAGGGGGGAGAAAGGCATTACATACCTCCGCAGCACGAGGAACAGGAAGCGCCCATGGCTGCTGGGGGACGCGAATCGATCTGCCGCCAACCGCGATGTACAACAGAAAGGACGGGCGTTTTTTTGGCTGTTGGTGTCGCGAAGTGGTGATGGCGATGATTGTCGTGGAATGCCGGGGAAGTCGAAGGGCCCCCGGTGTTATTGTTCTGGGTCCGGCAGGCGGTCGGTGGTGCCCTGGTCGGTGTCGGGAGTCGGATCGGTCGCTCCACAACAAAGTGGACGGTGGACGCAGGGGTTCTGGACGTTTGCGAGGGCAGCGAGAGCGAAGCGAAATCAATGACACAAATGATCGAAGACAAGCAGCGAAGTGAAGAGCCAAAGCAGGCCTCGAACGGAGCTCGGAGTATTGTGAAATCGGTAATGATGTGAGAAGCCGATGTTTCTCTGATGGTTGACGATAGAGGTTTCCGCAAAATCGGGGGACGTGGACGGTGTCGAGCGGGAACGGGCGACAGGACCCGATGTTGAATGTTTTTTGGGGGAGGGATTGTTGGGTTGCGTGAGGCGGCAGGACAGGACAGCGGAGAAGGTGGAAGGAATCACGGTCACAAAGAGATGGAAGAGACAACGCTAGGAATAGTGTAGCTCGCTCCACTGCTGGTCTGCTTGGTCGCGGAATGGAAGCAAAGCACGATGGACACGGACAGACACAATATGGATCACGTTGCCTTGCCCCGGTGCTGCTGCCCTTGTTGTTAATGCGAACAAATCTGTTGAACGGGGAGCGGCGGCAGAGGCATGAATGATGGATGGGTGAGCATCGTCGAAAGCTGCCTCGCAATCGCGCCCTGGAACCCCAATCACAGCGCACCATCACAGACTCACAGCGAGGCAGCTTCCCAAGGCTCGAGCCAGGGCCCGGGCGTCTGGGGTGAAAAAAGTGGGCCGTGCGCTGAGGTGGCACCTGCGGTTGCGCTGGACTGCTGAGGTGGTAGTGCTGGATGGTCCTTGCTACCCGAGCTACCGTGCCATCGGATGTCATCACCACAACGACGACGACCCCAACCTCCATGGATTCAGGGCCCAAAGGTAAAACCCGACCCAAAGCAACTCCAAAGGAATCATTGGATTCATTGCCGGCAGCGGGCAGGCGGACACGGGTGACCAGACACCCACGTCCATTGTTGGGTTGCAACAGCTATTCTTTCCTTTTCTAGAGTCTCCTCTTTGGCGTGCATTCTACATCAAACTGAACAGTATCACTTGCACTCCCGTCGGGTCTTTCCACTCTCAATGACATCCTGGTCCGAGCCGCATCACAAGAACAAGTCACCTCACCCACTATCACGATACAGAGACTGTGTAGAGGTACCTACACTATAGAATACACAACCTTCTGGCTTTCTTTTTGTCTCCGGGCCCAAAGGTTGTGTGGTGTCTCGGCACCAAGGAATACCCGACTCGTGTGCTTTGTCACACAAAGGGACCTGGGTGGTTTACGTTGTTAACAGACATACCGGTAGCTGTGTGTTCCGTCTAACATTAGGTAGAAGGATGGCTTGACGTAGTGCGGTGATAACCGTTTAGTGTCAGTTTGGAGATGCATGGAGGTGTCAGATGCGTATCTTGTCATGTTCATTGATCGTCATTCATCCGTCTGCTTTAGGGCTGGGCACGTTTATATGGAATCGTGGCACGATAATGGACTGCTTGGCCAGTATAGGTATGAGAACTAGGTGCTCAACCTGGGCGTTGGTGGACGTTTACACAACATGATGAACGTTCAACATCTGAAACATGGACATAGCTTTCCATATCTTGAATTTGTGAAGACATCGGAGATCTTATATCGCCGTTCATGCCGAAGATGTTCTGAATCCCTTGCTCAAACCAAGCAGTGTGAGCGTACCTCTATATAATCGTTAGCTCCCCAAGTCAGGCCACTAATACGGTATTCACATTCAACTCTTGCAACCAAAGAAGGGCTCAGCCGTATCTTTCGGGATTCTTTGAATACAAGTAGATGCCAAGCTTTTAACATGACAACCTGGAACATGTTAAGCTGTGAAGCTGTGAAGCGTTAAAATTTTAACTTTAAATCATACGTATAAGGTGAAGATAGTAAGAGCAGCCTTAAAAGGTTAAGGACAGACACACTCGTCCGGTCTCGGTCACGAATGGTAACGGTAAAAGCTTATCTACACGTGTATACAAGCCTTGACCGGGGCTCTTATCGGTTCCCAGCCCAGCTCCTGCACCAAAAGGAGGGGTCTGGGGTCAACACCCCAATAGCCGCCATCGCTACTGGTGGAAGCCCGATAAATGGAGCCCTCTGGCGGCCCAGCGCAATCAACATGGAAGCATCCCCTCCTCCGTGACAGGCTCTATTGTGTAGCGCTCTGCAAGTGGAGGGAGTCGAGTCCTCCCTGACAACGCCGACTTCTGCCCGTTCCGTCCAGCTTGTGAATCATTGCTCTAGATCACCATCCCTTTCCCATTCGAGTGCTCCCGTCCCATCATCTCCGAAATACCGTTGCGGGCGGATTCGACATCTTGCCTCTGAACGGGTCGACCGACTAGACGAAAAGCACGGCGATCAAGTTAATAATTCCATCTCGGTCGATTGCGCCCAAGTCCGTCTTCTCTGCCACTTGCGACGGCTACAGCTAGATCGTCCCGACTAAGTCGCTTCACCTTTCTTGCCCTTCTTTTTTTCCGTCCCTCGGCTATCATCCAAACGACATCCCCTCCGTCTTCGTCGCTTGCACTTCCCGGTCGGAAGTTACACACAACTCACCAACTCTACCCAAAGCCAATTGACGTAAAACCCCGAGACCGCCCACGCAGTCACAACCAAGGGGACAGGGAAAGACACAGTTAAAGGGCCGAGAGGAAGAGAGGGTATATCCAAGATATCGATACAGAGACATAGTCCAAAACTGTACCGGTAGAAAATTGTGGCTGGGCGGCGATTCAATCCTCCGTCAACGGAATCAAAGCTCCAAGTACCGAGCAAGACAAAGCTACAACGGGGGTCCCTCCCCAATGTATGTTCCACGACCACGATAATGGACGACTCTCGTACTCCCCCTGACCAGGCGGCGGCTTCTGGTACCGGCAGTGATGCCGCCAGTGTTTCTCCCCAGGCTCCCCAGCCTTCCACAACCTCAGTTGGGAACAGCAATACCGATCCTAATCTCAATGGCCCGTTGCCGCTCCGACCTGGTCACGAGCTACCTTTCGTTGCGCCATCATCCTACCTTCGTCCCAAACTAAGCAGTCGCACAATGTCAGATAAGACGTCAAATCCCCTGGACAAGGAGCAGATGCAGGGTCTGGTGAGCATCCCATTTCCGAGACAGCACACCCAAACTTCTCCCTACCTTCGATCCCTTCTTTCTCTTTGACTTTCATCCACATGAGAGTCCCATGGTCGCAAACTGCCTCTGTCAGCCTAGTTCGGTTCAATCCTTCCGGCTCGGATGGCCTCTATGCGGGATGCCGGCTTCCATGGCCCTAGTCCTTGCTTATGCTATGCTGCCAAAGAAGGCAATTTGGCAAAAGAAAAACGACAACACACACTTGGCCTTTCTTTACTGGTTTCTGGCTGACTGACCGTCGATGCAAACAGAGAGGGGTTCGCGAGTTCCTCAAGGTCCGCACCAGCTACGATGTCCTGCCGCTCTCCTTCCGCCTAATCATACTTGACAACGATCTGCTCATCAGAAAGAGTCTGAATATTCTGATCCAAAACGGTATGATAACAACTTGGAGCCGGTTCAGCCAGTGTGGTAACATTTGATGCTGACTCTCGTTATTCAGGCATTGTCTCGGCGCCGCTCTGGGACTCGCGTAACGGAACATTTGCTGGCTTGCTTACTAGCACCGACTACATCAACGTCATCCAGTACTATTGCCAGTTCCCCCATGAGATCGACCAAGTCGATCAGTTCCGGCTGAGTAGCCTTCGAGGTGAGTGCCATTATCAGGGGCCATCAAGGTTCTCTCTTGCGGGGCATCAGGCTGACAAGTAATGCGCGTAGATATCGAAAGGGCCATTGGTGTCCTGCCGCTCGAGACCGTATCCGTCCATCCCATGCGCCCATTGTACGAAGCCTGCCGAAGAATGCTTAAGACGCGAGCTCGGAGAATTCCCTTGATCGACACGGACGACGAGACCGGCCGAGAGACGGTTGTCAGCGTGATCACGCAATACCGCATCCTGAAGTTCATTGCGGTCAACAACGAGCAGCATACAATGTTGCTAAAGAAGCCCGTGAGGGAGATTGGCCTGGGGACCTACACCGACCTCGCTACGGCCACCATGAACAGCTCCGTTTTGGACGTCATTCACCTCATGGTCAAATACAACATCTCGGCTGTGCCAATCGTCGACAAGGATAACCGAGTTCTCAATCTCTTTGAAGCCGTCGACGTCATCCCCTGTATCAAAGGGGGTGCGTATGACGAGCTGACAGCGACCGTTGGTGACGCCTTGTCCCAGAGAGCTGAAGATTTTGCAGGAATCTACACATGCAGTGAAGAGGACCGCCTGGACTCGATATTCGAGACTATCCGAAAGTCTCGAGTCCATAGGTTAATTGTTGTTGACGATGACAGCCGCCTCAAAGGCATCATCTCTCTCTCGGATATCCTCAAATACGTGTTGCTCTACGGCGAGGAAGAGGATGACCTACAGGAGTATTAAAAGGGGAACACAAGGAATGGGCGGCACTTGTCATGGCCTAGCTAGGTTGGCTATAGGAGGATATGGTTTTGGTTTGCATTGCATGGCGCTTTTCTGGACGGTATGTGAAATTAGTGGAATAATAGGATTGTATATCCTTAACCCCCGATGGGCGACATAGACGGGTTCTTCTCTTTCCCTGGAACACGGTAAGAGGTGTTGTTATTGCTGATTAATGGCTTTCTGGTGGTCTTGACAAAGACCTCTACCTTGTCCCCAACAGCACGGGATTGATGTGGCTACCTTGGTAGTGATAATTAGCTGGCGAGCATATATAGATATGGCTACCTGAACGTTGAACTGACAACGCGGCAGGTTCAGATGAGAATGGGTTTGCTTCGAGTTGAAAAAAAAGTGCAATGGCACCAGCCTGTAGTCTAGACTCTAGGCATTAATGTAAGGAACTTGGCGACGATCGTGACTGTTGCTTCGGGTCTCACATTTCTCTGTTCACTCCACCTTCCTGTTGAGAAGATATCAGTCTTTTCGAGAAGGAACAGGTTGGACACAAAGAGCGACATGTGAACACGGGAAGCAGCAGTTGACAACAAACGACGCGATGCTTTCAAACCATGCTTTGGGCTTTCTGGAGCTCTTCTACACAACATCATCAGTTTACAACCACTTTGGATATCTTGTCTTGCCACCCGCCTCCCGAATACCTTCCTTTACTTGTTTGAACGACTGTATATCTTCCAAAGACATGCAAAACTATCATTACGAAACCGATCGGGCATCGATTGCATCGGTCGGTACTCCCTCGACCACCAAGAGCTTCTTGCCCAGACGCGTACCAAAGAGAGGGCAGACGGATGATACATCGACTACATGGCGCGGTATCCCTCAGTCTGCCACAGCAGGTCATTTCCCGGATCCTGTGGCATATAGGCGTGCGGACAGAAGCAGTGCGACATGGACATTATCCAGTGGCGATGTGGGCGGCTGCTCCGATGCCCATGAACTCCAAGATCGAGGGGACTTTGTCCGAGAGTACAACAGACTCGCAACCAAGGTTAGCTCATTTGCGTTTTGCAAGTCATTCTTGTCTGCGACCCACTGACTAGAGGTTATAGCATGGGCTACGTCTACTTTCGCCCGACGACGATGGCCACTCCTCGGTAAGTCGCCTTTATACACTCATCGCTCCATGAACCATTGACTAATAAAACACTTGATTCAGAGAGAAACCTCCCCAAGTCCGCACAGAAGGGGATGGTTTTCCCGTACGTTCCGGCGCCACCCGTCGGGTGCCAGCAATACCAGCTCAGCAAAATCGGGACGGTCGGAAAGAAAAGCGAGCCATAGACGGAGCATCAGCGATCTAGCATTGCAGTTGGTACACTCAGCAAAACGGGACGTTCTCAAAGATGAAGACTTGCAATCTCTTGTCCGTTTGTGCGGCAAGAGCATGTTCTACTTGCCATCCGAATATGCGCCCAGCTCCTTGATTCTCCCAACATGCCTTCGCGCAACCGCCCAATATCTTGTACAACACGGTAAGACCTGCATACTTCCACGCTGGTGAGGCATTCACTGATGACTTTACAGCTACGGAGACTCGCGGTGTCTTTAGAATCCCTGGGTCTGTTCGAGTGGTTAATGCCCTCTATGACTACTACTGCGCCGAAGGAGATCCGGACGAGATATCGAGCACAACCCGCTGCCCAAGCCTCCCAGTCCACATTAAGGCCGGTGTTGACGACGTGGCTTCAGCATTCAAGCGTCTTCTCTCTGGTCTTCCGGGCGGCATCCTCGGATCCCTCCCATTGTTTGACACAATGGTCTCAATACAAAGTCAGTTAAACGGGGATCCCGAGGTCACGAAAACCAAGCAGACGAAGCTCCGTGCCAGACTGATTGCGCTGGCAATTGGCAGTGTTAGGTCTCAATTACGTCGGGAGCTGATATGTGCAGTCTTTGGTCTCCTGTGCTTGATCGGACGCGTTGCTGAGACGGCACCCCGCGAGGATGAATTTGGAAGACCATTGCCTACAGCAGACCTAATGGGCTACAATGCTCTAGGTATCGTCTTTGGGCCGCTTTTGGCCGGTGATCTTCTCAACTCCTACTCAATCCGAAGCTCTAGTGTTCGCCTCATACTATCCCCAGTGAGCCCACCGCCCAACAGCAAGTGGGAAAAAAAGAAGTACATGGCATCAGAGGAGGCTATTGCCCTTTGCTTTCCAGATATGGACAAAATACATGTTGCCAACAGCATTGCCGAGATGCTCATAACCCATTGGCGGGAGGTTGTCAAGCAAATGAGGAGCCTTGATGTGTTGAGGGTGGTTGGGTCGGGCATTGCCGACCATTGTACTTCACGAAAGGGATCACTGCGTCCTTCCGTCTCGGAGCCATTTGTTCTACGAAAGCCACCTGAATGGCAACAGAATGGTCCGCAAACAGGCTCTTTTCAAGTATCGGAATCCCCTATTCCTCCGAGCCCAACGCCCGAAACTCGTATGTCCATCCCCATCTCAATCCCTGTTGGTGTCTTGCTGACCGGACGATAAACCAGGTGGACGAGTACCTAGCGGAGGACTACGAGCAGACAGACCGCGACCTACACTTGTGATACCTCGACAGCGCCCAAGATCCTCGCGCTCATTGTCTCGGAGTCGACTGAATACGCCAGGACCTGTGGTGTTATTGTCTCCTACCGAGGAAGAGCCTTCTGCAGGTGGTGCGTCTCTCTCGAAAAGACAATCAAAGGGCTCGATCACGTTTGTCGAAGAAACACCATCTCGTCCATACCGTGAGGGTCAACAATTTGATTCTGAGTATGCCGAAAGGAGACAGACAGGGTCCCCGACCAAATTGCAACCTGTCATACCAGACTCACAAATGCCCCGGACAGTCAGACGTCGGGGCAGCCTGATCAAAAGCTTTACAGAAGGGCTTGACGTCCATCCATTGGCCAGCTTCCGCGATCGAAAAGGAAATAAGAGTCAAGGGGATGCGCCGGTGTCGGTCTTTGGTGAGCCGACGACCAAAATGAGGAACTGTGGCTCTAGAGCAGAAGATTCAGAGCTGACTCCAAAGCCATCTGTGAGAGCCCCATCACAGGATCGTATGTCCATAAACAGTGGTCAAACGGATGCAAATGGAACGCTCCCGGACGGAAAGGTCAAAGTTAAGAGCTCGGGACACAGGCTTTCGAGGTTTCCAGGTTGGAGATGGGGAGAAAGATCTAACAAATCGACAGACCCGGCTGAATCAGCTGTAGAACATCCTAGTTCCGTCGTATCTTCTTCAGGACGCTCTTCTCGCCAAAAGGGTCGACGAAGATTGTCATTCCACTTGCGAAAATCGATAACAGCGGCTTCGGCGGAGGAACAGGCAGGTCAACAAGTCCTTGATCCCTCTCAAACCCCAACGGAGTGTTCAGCTGGCGCTGAGGAGACACCAAAACCGAGTGTCAAAACTAGCCATTATTCTGGCGGCCCTTTGAGTCACTTTGCAACATTAAGCCGGGCTACGGGCCGCATAGCTCGAACGGATCGCAGTCAAGAACCTCCCAGTAGACCACCAACAGCACATGAACAATCTCACGCAAAATCACGGGCAAGATCGTTGGCATCGAAGATACCTCGCGCACGGAGATCCGATCGGCGACAGACTCAAAGGTCTAGTCGGGAGTCTATTCGTCGTAGTACTATTCCCAGCAAGAGTCCTTCCAAACATATTCTTGCCTCTGTTCCTCCTGAGGTTCAATATGAAGAAGATCGGATCATTTCTGGCCAGGAGAAGCAAGTGCCGGGGTCAGGACCATCGGCTGTCCTGAAACATGACCGCATGGCTGATTACGCACTGTCCGCTACGTCCTTTGATGGAGATCTCCGACCACCAACTACCCCCTCAAGGCCAACATCTTACTACAGCAAGTCCTTCACCGGGAGTGCGGTTAGGGCAATGGCTGCGATGTTTGAGTCTGCTGCTGCGAAGGACAAAGACTTGAAGAGGCCTGAATTTCTCCCCATGCCTACGAGAATGACTGGTAGTGTGCTTTCGCATTATACTGTGAATCCGCCATCACCACGGAAATCACTGTCGTCGCCATTCGAAACACCTGAAAAAGGTACCGGTGGCATTCATACAGAAGGGCGCAGGGAACATGCAGAATCTAAAGGCAGTTCCAACAAGAGTTCCGGACGAGGAAGTCATGATGGGGTGGATGACGAGGACGAGAGAACAACGAGCCTAGCCGTGACATGGGAAAGGAGGTCAAAGAACTCGAATGAGCGGGCGAACGAGCAACAAAGCCACAAGCCAACTAGAGACCCTTATAAAAGGGCCGTTAAGGACCGCTCATTTGAACAGGAGGGCGACGTTCGGTTGATCCGACCAACGACCAGTGCTGGCGGCAACAATACTAAAAGCTTGTTCGGCAACGAAGCTCAATACGTACCCTTACCACAATCACCTCATATACTGAGACCTTTCAGCGCACCCATTGGAGCTCCAGATGCAAACAAGGGCTCCAGGGTTCCGATCGAATCCGGCACTTCGAACTAGTTGCTTGAAAGTGCTCTCCATCAGAATCCAAGGCATCGTTTTCAATCAACCCCACCCGTAACAAACGCCGTCGCTAGCGACTTGATGATTCTCCAAGCGCAAATTCGCCGCCTGCAAACACAACTCGACATCAAGACGGAGGAAAACGACCATCTCCGCCGCAAACTAGCAAGCTTTGGTGCGGGTCAGTGTAGTCTCCCGAAGGAAGTAAGCGTACGACGAAGCACAAGCATCAAGTTGAGCGAGCACCTGCGGCAGACGGAACGCGAGTGCAAGGCATGGCGGGAGAGAGCAGAGGCGGCGGAGATGAGAGTGGCAATTTTGGAGAGGTTGCTGAGGAGTAAGGTGGACGGGAAATCTTTCAATGAGGAAGAACGTGGAGGTGAGAAGATGACTACAGACTCAAAAGCCAATCCACCATCCACTTCTCAGCACACTTTTACAACAGAAGTTTACCGAAGCAATGGAACTGTTCGAGATCGACTCCGAAAGTTGTGCGGGGCCCTGGACGGTTGCTCTGAGATCGAATCCTATGAAGAGTTGGTGGAGGAGGAGGAAGAAGGCACTGTGAGGTGTGCTAGTGTACCTGTATGGAGTGATGGAGAGTATGAAGGCCCAGGGTCATCTAGTGATGAAACACCAGAACGGAGCAAGGACGAACGGTGTGTGTTGCAGGAGAAAGAGGTGGATGTTCAACAAATTACCACGGGGGAAGACGACAATGATGATGGTGTCCTGGAGCAAGATATAGAGTTGCCAGACTGGGATGCGAACGGCAGACATTCTTATGGCACAGATGAAGGGGAAGAGGAGCATCTATCTGCGAAAATAGGAAGTTATGAGCAAGATGACTGTCACGCATTGGGAAAGGATGGCAATGCACTTGACGCCAACAGAGCAACACTTGAGATAGGGTTGGCTGGATCCTCTGACATCAACGATCTCGCATGGAAGATATGCGAAGATGCCGAAGAGGGCGTGGCGGTGGATAAGGCGGAGGGAGAGACAATGGCAGTCATGAATAAGTGGATGACAGAGAATGATGAAAATGGGAAGAGGAAGAGGAGGAAGAGAAGGGAAAGTGTGACAAGCATCGACTTGTGGATGTAACGGAGCATGCAGAGATGCGAATTGAGTAGCCTACGCAGAGATATATGGAGCTTATCGGGGACATGCTGTTAGGAGTTGTATGTCAGCTGCATTGTTTACTGATTTCCTTTTTTGGACGGATGGTGTAAGGGGGCTCAATGATAGGAAAGCTGAGAATATCTTAGGATAAGTGTACCAGGCCACGATAGACGTCTACGTTGAGATAGTCACACGTCTGGTTGTTCTATAGGCTTTAGTCAACATACATTGGATTGCATGATCCTCTTACTTTACCGCACTTATAACGTTCATGGCTTGTATTTGTACATTGATTAGGCGTTTTCCGCGCCCTTTTGATCTACTCATGTCTGATATAACTATAGTACAATACAAGGCAGCTTCACCCACCGGCAAAGACCATCCCACTGCCACGCCACGCGTCGTCGTCTCGGCCGTCGTAACGTGACGAATGCCGCTCTCCACAACAACAGCATCAACAAGAGGACAACATTGCTGACCACAACGCTCGCATCTGCACCTACTACACCCACATCCGTACTCAAGCGCTCCCTTTTTACGCAATGCGCTTGACGTACTTCCACAAGCTCTTGTACTTGGGCTTCTGCCTCTTGGCTTCCCAACCCCTGGCCTTGCGGGGCGGCTTGAGCGAGGCGAACTTCTGGCGCTTGAACTCGATCTCGGCGCCGGGAATGCCGTGCCTCTCCATGACCTCGGCGGTGCCCTCGTCCCACTCGGAACGGAAGAGGTTGAAGCCGACGGGCTCGAGGTCGAACTTTTCGCGGAAGCCCTTGAGCGAGAAGTTCTCGCGGTTCTCCAGATGCTTCCTGAGCGTCTCGCCATCGATCTTGGCGCCGGCCTTCTGCTCCAGCACGAAGACGTTGAGGCGGTGATAGGGCGAACCCTTCTGCGCAAAGGGAGGAAGCCAGGGCTTGCCGACGTCACCCTCGACGCGGTCGCCGACGCTGCGCAGCGACAGAACCGTCTTCGACGGGTCCCACGGAATGTTGGAAGCGAGGAAGTGGCACCGGCGCGAGAACCGGTCGTGATCAACATCGGGCACGTCCGAGTCGATGACCACCACGGTCAGCAGGCGCTCGCCCTTGTCGAAGACTTGCATGCGAAGTGTCGGGGCGACCTCGGTCACGCGGGAATCGAGGATCGCGCCGGGGGAGACTTGGTAGCCGCGGAAGGAAAGCTTGACGTCCATGGATGGGTCGAAAGAGGGCAGCAGATCGGGCACGACGTGGAACTGCGAGATACGTTGGGCGATGATCTTGTAGTCCATGGAACGCCAGCGGCGCTCGGCGAGGAAACGGTAGACGGGCTTGGTCATGTCACCTGTTTGGAGGAAATATGTTAGTTAGCTTGATGGGACCTGGGGGAGGGAGCATAAGCGGAAGTCATGTACGCACCCCTGCCATCCTCGAAGCGCCTCTTCACCTCGGGGTCGTTGATGTCGGCCAGGATCTTGAGCTCCTCAACGTAGTTCCTCAAGCTCTTGATCCGTGTCTGCTTGGCGGCCTCGCCGCCCTCGAACTCGCTAGCATCCCGCGCCTCGAGCAGCTTGATCTTCTCCGTCTCCTTGACAATCTGGGCAATCTTGGCCGCGCGGTCCTGCTGCAAGATCTTGCG